TTCCAGATTTGCCTGGAAGTTCTCACTCCCAAGATCGTGGAAAACAAAAATCTTCATTTTTCAATTTTCCAAATTTACGTGGAAGTTCTCACTCCAAAGATCGTGGAAAAGAAGAATCTTCAAGGTCATTGTTCAATTTTCTATGCCACAAACACACACAAACAGATGAATAATAAACACAATTACCTGCTCTGGAAAACTTTATAATATCCTGGAAATACTGTTTATGCCGCCCAGAGACAGTCAAACAGCATCATAAAAGGACTGTGCTCAGTTATGGAAGTGGAAGTTAATTTATGGGCCTGGACAAGGTTGATATCCGCTGTATAACAGGTGGACCAGCATTAGGACTTCCAAACATAAAATAAAATTTTAAAGTAAACATAGTCACCAGAATTGCCAAATTACTCATCACCTTGAAGCTACAGTCAAAAACTACAATAAACTCCAATGTACACCTAGGTGCTGCCCTTCTGCAGGAGGTGTGCTTACTAGGAGTTGCATTCCCACAATGCACGGTCCACCCAATGTGGATGCGTTGCCCATTGAACCCCATGGTCTGGGCTGGCACTATTGACACCACCGCAGGGAGTTGGGTGGCATCTACATGTAGTATATGTGTGATGACACAGAGTGTAACACAAACGTAACAAAATCCAAAATGTAAATAAATGTCCTTTAATGCCTCCAACTTGGCTCCACTGTTCAATAATATTCAGTTGGAGATAAAATGTACTCAAAAATAGTCTTCGAAAGAAAGCAATACAGTCCGAACTTAATGAGCAGATAGAGGTGAAATAACAAACCAAACAAGCTACAATGACGAAATTTTCACAACGGAACAGGAGAAGTATTTATCAAATCGCCAGTATGCAGGTCCAAACTCTTATTCAGTTGTCACAGCTGCAGCCCATGAAGAGGATCAAGGCCCGAGGAGACAACGTCTCTCCCTTATCTTCTCTTCCCTGCATGCCCTAGGATGGAGAGGGGATAGGCCTGGGTCCTCCTCTAACTGCTCAGCCGGCCTCTGCCCTTCCCCAGCCTCCTCCACAACCTCCGGAGCCACATTTCCTTTTGACTATTCGCCATACATTGCACATTGATTTGTAAAAATATACCTATCCTTCATGGGTTTTGTGGGGAATGGAAAGTGATGTAAAAGTAAACCAGAAGTTTAAAACAAAAGAAATGCAACACGGTGGAAAATTTGAAGCTTTGGACTGTTTGCAATCTACTGCATTTATTTAAAAAAAAAATCCCCCTTTTTGGGGGGAAAGCAGAAACATTAAAAATGTCATATAGTTCTTTTTAATTTTATTGACATTTTCCCATAGAGAACGCCTATATGGAGATTCTCATATTTTCTTTTATTCCCATATAGCAAGGGTCTTTAAACTTGACAACTTTAAGACTTGTGGACTTCAACTCCCTGAAATCCTGAGCTAACATGACTGGAAGAGGAATTCTGGGAGTTGAAGTCCACAAGTCTTAAAGCCGCCAAGTTTGGGGACCCTTGGCATATAGGATAGAATAAAACCCCTTTAGCCGGTCCCAGCCTCCTCTTTTCTTGCGCAGGCGCCTCGGGAGATGCCAGCCAACGCGGCGTTCGAGGGCGAGCTTGAAGAGCTTCAGGAGCCGGGCGGAAGCGGCCTTTCGCTTCCGGTGTCGGGCGGAAGTGGCGGCTGCGCGCGCAGGAGGTTCTCTACTCTCCGGGAGCATGAGGGGGAAGAGACGGCGGCGCTGCTGCTGCTGCTGGCGGAGGTTTCGCGAGGCGAGGACGGAGCGCGGCTGAGCCGGCGGAGGCCGCCGAGCGGGGAGAGGAAGTGCGGGCCGCAAGGACGGGGTGAGGGGGTGGAGGACTCGGGGTGGGCGTGGGGGTTCTTTCGCTTTCCCCTCCTTCTGCGTCGTCTGCTATTTCACAACAGCCCTGTGCGGTAGGCCAGACCGAGGAGTCGTGCCTGGCTCTGTGTGATGGGGTTTTGCTGGCCCTTCAGGGGCCGAAGCTGGGAGGGTGTGGCTTGCCCTGCCAGAACTCGAGGCCCTGGTTCTACTACAACTCCCAGCATCCCCACTATCGCCCATTACATTTGGGCAGGGCGGTGAAGCCCTGGTTGTACTACAACTCCCATCATCCCCATCACTGCCGTTGCATTTAGGCAGGGCGATAAAGCCCTGGTTCTACTACAACTCCCATCATCCCCA